TCATTTTAAGTCGGTTTACATTGATAATTATATCACATCAGCAGTGGGAGTGAGTGAGCAGACCGAAAGCGGACAGGACGGAACGAGCAGCAGCTGGGTTCGGATGCGGATACCGGCCTCTGGTTTTGCTGCGTTCTGAAGAGAATCTAAGCCAGCAAGCGACCTTGTTTTCCCGCAGGTGGACTGCCGGACCCCCGGAACGAGGAAAACTCGGTGTGCGACGCGCATACCGTTAACAACGTTTGGCTTTCGCGTCGATGAATTCTAATCTAGGCTGACTTTACTGGCTCCACTTTACACTACAAACACCGGCAAAAACACAGACCGAAAAAATAGAGTGGAAAAAAGGGAATAATCCCCTTCACTTCTTGGTGGTCGTCAAAATGGTAATATATTTTCGTCGGACGGTAAACAGGTGCGGCTGGCAGTCTGCTGGCTTTCATCAGGCCAGGCCCTTCTGCTTTTTCTGGCCGCCCTGCGCCGCCCCACAGTCCACTCCCTCGACCGCCACGCCACGCCACTCTTAATGTTTGGTTAGCCTAACAAGCAGTGGCGCGCCCGTGGGCCTGTCTGCTGGCTATCATCCCCCAGCCCGGCGTGTACGGCCAAGCACCCTGACCCTGCCCCCAATCACATGAAACAATCCGCTAGAAAACGAAACAAACAAAAAAAGTCAAATGGCATTGAAATGACGTCGTTTTGATGTCACTTCCTCATCGTGTGGGGTCGTGTGTGGTGTGTAAACCGGCCAAAACGTACGTATTATTAGTCGTGAGAGTTCGAGAGGAAAGTTGGACCCCACGACACAGGCCCGTGCTTCCATTCCTGGCCAGATCACGCAGCGGCCACTCGGACGGGCACCGCGCTGCAAATGGACTCGAGAAGGACCCTATGGCGCCCTACACGGAGACCCGGGGGCCCGCACGGCTCACTTTGCCTCAGCCCAGGGCCCTACAGGAAGAAAAGGGCGTCTCGGACCACCAGGGTGCCGTGCAGGTCGCCTGACCCTACTTTGACGTCGTAAAAATTGGGGAGCTCGAGCCGAGCCCGCTCTTCTTGTCGCGCAAGGCTGATCGGAGCAGCTAGTGCGCATTCAAGTGCTTGGGCGCGCGGTAGAAAGGCTCGAGGCCTGTCGGCCTGATCCAAAATGTATTTGCTGGCGATGAATGAATGATGAGGGATGAGGTGTGGACTGTGAGAAGGACGGCCTGGAGAGGCCTTCCTCCTCGTCCCTGAGCCGCTTCTTTCCCCAGGGGGTTTGGTGGCGGCGGCGGCCCGTGCGGCCCAGCACCGGCAGCTATTATCGGCGCCATAACCGGCAGGGGCATTTACGAGCAGCGTATTCCCGTCCCACGACCCGGGCCCGCGACGGGGCGCAGGCGAGGGGGCCGCGGGTTACTCCGGGGCCCGGGGAGCGCCGCGGCGCCTAGGCCTCTAGGAGTGTGGGACGTGTAACTGCGCCGGAGCGTGGATCCGCTGTTGGTCCCTGCCGCACCGCCGCCCCGCTTCGCCCCGCTCCGCCTCGCTTCGCCTCTCCTGCCCACTACTTTGCGCAGCAAGGCCAGAGCTCACAAAGCATCGCGAAAAGGAAATGAAATCCAGACGCCGTCCGGGGACTGCGCGGGGGTCTCGGGGCGCGGGGCAGCAGCGGGGCAGCCGGACCGAGCGAGAGGGGCTGTAGTCCCGCTGAGCCCCCCAATCCCTCCTTGCCCCCATCCCCCCCTTTCCCCTCCTCCGCAGGCCGGCTGGAGCCATAGTGCGGCGACATTTATTTACTCTCCCAAACTTCAGCAGTGCGTGCCGTGTGCGCGCGCCGTGTGCGTTACGGTGCCGGCTGCGGTGGGTGCGGTAACATCTTTTCTCCTAACCGTTTCATTCCCGAAGTTTTCGCGCAGGGATACACACTGCACACTCGGCCGCAAGTAGTGGACAGGGCAAAAAATTAGCGCGACTGACAGATGAGTCATAACCAGGGCTCCGTAACTTATCATAACACGAACGAATATTAGTTACTCAACGTAACAAAAGACATGTTTAAGTAAAAGTTGTTAAAGTTGTGGATTTTTAAATATGTTGCTGTGGGTGGACAAGTCGAATAACTCACTAAGGGATCGTCCAGAAAGTACGTCCGTTGCTCTCAAAATCATCCTGCAAACTACAGTGGCTCGGCGCCTGCAAAACTCGGGGTAGGCCACCCCGCAATACACGCATGCCCGGCATGCAAGATTGTGCCTACCCATCAGGCGCCATGAGTGCTTGCATTGCCTTAATTTAGAGGGTTCGTAACGGCCAATGACGGACGTACTTTCTGGATGATCCCTAAATTTAAAAGAGCCACATTAAAAGTTACAAGCTGTTATAACTTTAACTCCTTAAAATAACGTTAAATTCTGTTAAGTTATAAGAAGCTACAGCGCCACAGAACGTGCACTACGCACCCGCAAACGAAAATCTCCGAACGTCAGGGGGACTCAGACGGGAGGCTCAGAAATCCCACCAACACAGTTATTACTGCTCTTTTGGGCCGCAAGTGCGCGCGCGTGGGCGGGCTGCCCACTCACCCGGCTCCGTATGGCGCTGTGGTCAGACACTGGCAAAACAAGTGTTTTATTTTTTCACGTCAATTCGTGTTTAAGTTCAAGTGTGCATTTTCTCAACACATTGTGATGTCTAACTTGGGTTAAACGTCAATTGGTGTTTAAACTTTTAACACTTCCGAAAAGTATAGCAGCTGCACACCATTGGTTCCTTTAGATTTGTGTGCGTCCAAGTTGCAGAATTTAAACGTTTACGAAACGTGTATAATGTGCACACCACGCAAGTGTGTAACTTGAGTTAAACATCAGGTAATGTTTAAAATCATAACTTGCACACGTTGGTGTTTAAATTATGCACACTTGTTTTACCCGGTGAAGACTTGGGTGAGCATGCCGTGCAATGGAAGTTGATGAACCAAGAAAGAAAGGGCGAGCAGGTTCCTTCAGCTATGCCAGGTGGTGTGGCACCCGCGCGTTGCGGAGCCCTGCGTCGTTGTCAGTGACAAACGCGAGTGAATCGACGGAAGGGCCGCCAAGCTTCCTGGCGCTATAAAGACCCTCCTCTCTGCCGTTCTACCTGAGTGGCTTGCTTCGTTTAAAGCTCTGCTCCCCCGCCTCTCCCGGAGGGCCGCACGACGCCCGTAGGCGGGGTACCCCGCCGCCTAACCTCACAGACACTGCCGCCACTTCCGGACGGGAAATTGAAGCTGTCAACCCGCGGGCAGTTGGGGCTGCGTCCGAGGCGCCGTGTATGCTCTGAGCGCGGCCGCCGGGCTGCCTCTGCTCGAACAGGGCTCCCCTAATCACTCATCCGGACGCAGCCCGTGGTGAAGGGTAGTGAGGCCTGCCAAAGGCTCATTACTTATCAACTAATTCCGGATACTCGAGCGCCACTCCGCCGCTCCCCTGCAACAAACGCCGTTTAAAAAGGGTCGTTTTGAAAACGTCCGATCTGCAATCGTATTTTTCAAGAACATCCGATCTGCCAAGTGCTTATTTCAACTGACTTTGGACGTACGTGGTTTATAAACCAAGAGGGGGGGGGGGGCGACGTGAGGGTCAGCCGGACGAGCGACGGACGCCGGTCGTAGCAGTCAATAAAGGCGGACGGCACAGTGTCAGGGGCGAGCTCAGGAGCAGCTCGGTGACCGGAAGTCGGTAGACTGAGCGAGGAGCCGTCCAACAACGCTAATTGTTACCATAACGCGACGCGAAGCGGTGCCTCATTCCCTGAATAGACTTTGTAACGCGAGCGAGCTGAGGGCTCTACTTTTCGACACAGTCTGTGGCAATGGAAAGGCTGCTAGCTGAGGAATCGACGAGCTGAAAAGCTATGGAGTGGGGAAAGAAAAGGGTTTAGAAAAAAACTTTCAAGGCGCATCCTCGTCCTCCAGTCCAGGGTGTCCGTCAAGCTTCCTCGATTGTACTCTTTCGCCCGGATAATTAAAGGCATTGCCTTTCCCCTATAAGGGGCTCGCCCCTAACGAGACTTCGCCTGCTCGCCGGGGGGCCGAGCCCGGGGCGCTGCGATGGGCCGAGAGAGAGGGCTGGCCGGGCAAAGGCGCACTCAGTCACGCAATTATCCTTTACCGTTGACCACCCTGACGGACAAATCCCTTTTTCGGAACCATCGTAGTTCACTTTAGAGGAGGGGAATCTCCTTTCATCTTCAAGGTTTGAGAGAGGAACGCAATTAAAATTAAGGAAAAGACCTCCTGGGAATGCAGCATAGTAATCACATCCCAAAAGATCTAACAAAAGTCGTCCCAAGGATACATCAACACAAAACGAGAGGGGAATAAAAATATATTTGAAATGAAGGCAAAATGCGGAATAACCGAACGACAGCTAAATTAATGTTTTCATCGTCGGCGCAACAACCAGTTTAATCCCGATTGAGCTGATTTAATTATACTTTCCAAGTAATCCAATAAGTCGCTGGCCGAGGGGCATTGCCACTCAGTCGAAATTTAGTACACAGATTGAAAGATCGTCATTTTCGAGTCCATTGGAATTGCTTTGCAATTAAAATATTTGTCTTTTATCGTATTACACTACTCCGAGGGAACATGGCAGAAACGGGATGAAAATTCGTCCTTTCTTTTGTATTTCTCCGGTTTATCCTTCTTCTCCACTCCATAGAGAAGAAACTTGGATGGGAGGGGGTGAGGGATATTCCAGAAAATACATCCGTTTTTATCAGATTCATTCGGCAAAAATATTGGGAGCTCAGCGCCTGCGAGAGTCAGGGTAGGCCACCCCGCGGTACACGCAGGCAAGATGTCGCCTACCTATCAGGCGCTACGAAACCCTGCACGCGTAAGCTGAAGGCTAACTTGGAGGTTTGTAACGGCGAATGATGGACGTCCTTTCTGGAATGTCAGTGTAGGTGTACATTTCGAGTGCGCGGCGTCTGCTTTTGTCGGAAGTTTTATACAACAGCAATATTCATTTTTGTTGCAGTTGGCCAAATTGATGTCCTTCACCTGGGAGGCGGGTTACTTCCTTTGCAAGTTCGTCCATTACATGCAGAACGTGTCTGCCATGTGTTCGGTGTTCACCCTGACGGCGATGAGTATAGAGAGGTAAGTCCCAACCTAATCCAAAAATATAACACCCAGGGGCCTTTTGAGTTAACTCAAATAACTGAAATAGAGCCGATTAAATTAAATCGGCACTATTTCAACGAGGGCAAAACTAAAAAAAAAATCTTTTAGCCATTATTATATTCCTTCAATCACATATTACTTTCGCGAATGGGGTTGTAAAAACACACAGTTTGCGTCTCGGCCACATGCACAATCTCGCGCAGAAATTTGTTTAATTATTTGGGGGTGGGCTGCGCGGATACTGCTCGACAGCTCGACCCGCATACCCCGCGCACGGGTAAGGCTTTGCGGGGCGCGGCGCACTTCCGAGGAAAAAGGCGTTGTTCATTCTACGAAACTCGACGCGCACCGATCAGCACTGCTCGGCCAGCACTGCAAAGCGGGCGTGTGGAAGCAGGGGCAACACCCCCCAGTACACAGTACAGCGCTGGCAGTGGTAGGCGCTGCGGGATCGTCTTTGGACCACGCGATGACCGGCAACAAAAAAGAGCTTTCCGGGGAGAGAAGAGGTGGGGGTGGGGGGATTCCCTCTGGTGGTCAAAGCGGCGGGCCCCCCCAGCGGGCTGCTGATAGGAAAACAATTCCGTCCACAATCGGGCATAGACGTTGTTTATTTTGTAGTCCCCCCCTGCGCACGCGCGCGCTCATGGGCAGTTTTGATGCGACGCGCCGATTCATCCACTGCGGATCGCGACCATTTCTCATATTATTGTCGTACCAGCAGCCCCAGCCTTGTCTCTCCGCATCGCCTCGGGGGTTTGTGGCGCAGACGCCCACGCGCCACAACCCCACGCGCACCCCCGACACACACACAGGCCACCTTGCCGTATCACATATGACGCCATATAGGGCAGTCAATTAATTTTTCCCCGTTTAGCCCCACTTTAACGGGAAAATTCAAATTAAGTTAGCCCCGCAGGTGCGCTACTAATGACTAATGCTGCAGGCGGAGCGCGCCGTTTTCATTCGGCTTTGTTTATGGGGAAGGAGTTTACGCATCACCGCCCTCCCCGGACGAAAGCTCTCTCTCCACCCCCGCGCGCGCAATCATCGGGGAGAATATACACTGTAAAAAAGAGATTGTGATGAAAATAAGAATGTTATGGCTAATTACTTTTACAACCAATCTTATCACGGAATTTTTTGTTATCTATTAAATAGATTTTCGTGAAATGACGAGAAATCCGTGATGAGATGTTTGTAAAAATTATTAGCCATATGACATTCTCATCCCTATCACAATAAGTTTTTTTAAAAGTGTATGCCGTGCCGTGCCTGTCGTATCTTTCGCACAATACACACACAACCCTTACCCCGCTGCCCCGCGCGCCAAACGATTGTGTTCCTCGGCTTCCGCGCTGCAGCCCTTGCCTTGCACCCCTCCAGCCGCGCACCAGCAGCCCGCCAGCGCGGCAAGGAACGCTCACAAATCGACGACAATATCTGACCACAAAGAGTCGCAAAGGGTGCCGCTGGGAAATTCCAGCCACACACGCGCGTGTGCAGTCCATGGATGGGTTAGGAAAGAAGAAAGGTGAAAAAATGTACATGGGTAGGGGGAGGGAGAAAGAGGGTGGTGTGTGCGCTACGCGTGGGTGCGGGGAAGAGGGTGGGTGCGCCCTGCGATACGTGAGGGAAACAAAACAGAGGCCAAATAGAGCGTCTCGCGCCCCACTCAGCGCTCTCTCGGGCAGCGGGCCGCGCCCCCGCACCACCCGCCACACACCGGGGGCCGCCTCTGCGGTGGGAAGAGGGGGGGGGGGCAG